GTGACAAAAATTCAGATAACGAATGATTATCAAAGACGTGAGAATAATTGCTGAACAACGAACACAAACCTAACGGATTTGGTCGTGTCTGAGTTATGTGTTGAGGTTGGTAGTGATTGCCCGAAAAGATTGTTACCAGAAGCTTGGTGGCGTAATGTTGACGATTGCGTTGCGTTCATTGAATGATTACCTAATACACCGGTGGCTCCTTGCAGTAAAGGACTGCTTTGCAGCAGATCTGAGCCATTCAATCCGAAACGCGCCAACAGGTCGGATTGTAACGACTCAAGACTCGCCGAGAACGACGACTGATTACTACCGTTCAACAAAGCTGGTGACGATGCCGAGTTAATCAGCGAATCAGTGATTTTAGATGCTGCAAATCATTCCGTTGCTGTACTGCTTGCTCTGAGTGAATTCAGCTAATTCACCAATTTCAATGATTATCACTATTACGTAGTGTCGACAATCGCATTTGTCATATGAAAATAACGTCAAAAAATCGCCTTATTCATCGATATTTCTCGTTTCGAGTTATCAGACTTGTTTGAGCACTAATGGCAGAAAGTAAAAGATAGGATCTCACTGCCAACTGTAAGATGGGGGAACACATAACATACGTTTCGTATCCAGTTTATTCGCTTGCTCAGGAGAGGTATTCGATGCAGCCGCCAGTTCAACCATAGCTGCTAGACGATCAGATGTCGACATCGATATCAAACTGTCTTCGTCCGTTTCAAATACACTGTAATATGCACTCTTACAATTAGAGAATTTATTCACGTTTTTTCAAATCATAAACACGTTCGCCTGAATAGCCATAATCAAAATTTTGAATTAAATCAAAGTAAAAAGCCTGGGGAACGGGCACGGGTAGTGAGATCGCTGTATGAAACTCACAGTCATAATAACCTAACGTTCGCTATGATTCTACTCAAGACGTAATTTGCAATGAATGCTGATTCAATGCTTCGCTCACATAACTCACAGTATCTCTTTCAAATCACAGTATCTCTTCCAAATCACACTTCCAAATCCCGTCTCACTCGCAATGAACCAATCCAGATTTCATTCATTCCCCTCCATTATCAGCCAGCTTCACAAATACACTCATCACGCACGCACACAAACATTTACCCACATAAGAATTGAACATAATTTTGGTGAATAACCCAAAAAGCGTCTCACTCACTTGTTTCCGGTCTTGAACAGCAACTGCGCGGTCATCTGGTTCAGAAGGTTACCCAGTTGTTTGTTTGCATCAACAGATAACTGGCTCGTCACACCCTCATCCCAGCTGCATTTCCTGAACCATTTATCATATTCAACACAATCACTATTACCCAAACTTTTCCAAACTCCCTCTGAGTGTCGATATAAATACTTTCGATCTAATAATTTCCACTCGGTCACATCGCACTCGTGATGTTTGCACAGCCACATACATCAACACACAATCACTAATTGCTACTCATTAAATCTATCCATTCCAATAATTCTTCATCCANGCATTTCCTGAACCATTTATCATATTCAACACAATCACTATTACCCAAACTTTTCCAAACTCCCTCTTAACGTCCACATAAATACTTTCGATCTAATAACTTCCACTCGGTCAAATCGCACTCGTGATGTTTGCACAGCCACATACATCAACACACAATCACTAATTGCTACTCATTAAATCTATCCATTCCAATAATTCTTCATCCAATATTGGCTTGGCACACATTTTGTCAATGTTTGTCCAATCTATTAGACTATTGTAAAAAGCGAAAGAAATTTAACTGCACACATATCAGTGTGTAATCCACACACACAACAACCACGCAACAAATTTTTCACAAAAAACCATCGCACGTTTCCATTAAATCGGAATCAGAATTCAAGTCAGATTACAAAAATTTTCATGAATGCTAACGAGATTCAAGTGTCCACAAAATGAACCTTTTGGTGGGACTGGGCACGAACGGTGCACTGCGAATGCACTCCTCTTCACGTTGTTGTGCTTCGAGTTTCAGCACCAAATTGTAATCACTTTTATGATGCGCCTTCAAATGCATTTTCAAGTTGGTACTGAATGGCGATGCCGTATTGAATGAACACTTCACGCATCCAACCGACTGAAACGAACGCTTTAATCATTTGAACTGACAATTCATAAAAGTCCATAAAATCTTGCAGTCACGCATTATGAATAAAAGTCACAGAGTAAATGCATACAAGTGAAACGAAGTAGCTATTTGAAAATAACTTTCTTCAGAACAAGCAACAACCAACCCCTAACGAGCTACTATTAGTTGGAGTTGAACAACTCGAAGGCGCACTTGAATCTTGTACCTAGAATAGTAAAACGACTTGGATTGGTTTCAGAATTATCACAAATAAAAATATCAAGTATACGAGACACTACGATCAAATTACGATGAAGTACTCTAACGATATGTTATATTCTTGAAGGAGNAGCTTATTCAAACTGATTCAGTGATGGTCTATCAGCTGTTCTCACCTTCGGATCATCGATATCTTTAAAAAATCTCCAAACTGGATGACGTCTAACTCGACGACGTTTCGATGCGCACGTCGACTGATTCAACGCCGGCAAACATCCCTCATCTATCCGACCACCATTCAGCAAAGTCGAATACGTCAAATCATAATCCGATGTTGATGCAGTTTCTGAAATATTTCCCAACAATTACTTCCACTCTCAACATCCAGCAACGATTCGTTGCTGAAAGACGAATTCGATCATCTCCGTTTTGGATCGTAAAATCACTTCACAAAAATATTCATATCAAATAATGAGAACGATGCAGAAATATAGTGAAAATATTCACCGAAAGCACTGTCCATATCACCCGTAGTGGAAATAGGCGTTGCAGGCCCTGAACTCGTTGCACTGTGACTTTCCGATGCGTTATTGACACGACTCAAAATCTGTCCCAACGACAATTCGAGACCGTTCGAATTGGACGCTAAAGCGTTGTGCAGTGGTGCGATTGCTGGTAGAGCGGTTGTGGTCACTTTGTGCATATATGGATTTAGACCGCTCATTGCGGATGGATTGGTGGGCGCTGATGGATTCATCATTGATTTTTGCAGTGCTGCATGCTGCTGCTCTTCGGCTTCGATCACCTTAAAATGCAACTTTGATTGCAACTCAAATATCAAGAAGATTCAAAAATGAACGAATGGCATCTGATATATGTGAAATCAGAGAAAAAAATGGAACGAACCAATTTATAGGTAGCGTTGTGATGTGTCCTTAGGTGTACTTTCAGATTGGTACTGAACACAGATGTTGTACTATAGCTGCACTGTTTACAACTTGCAACTCCATCCTTCACTTCAAAATACGGCCAAACCGGATTCCTTCGTTGACGTTTCTTTTTCTTCGGTGCTGGTTCCATGGCACCTTAATGCACCGAGATCGTCATTTATCTCCATAACACAAAACAAAATTCACAAAACGAAAAATTCACAACAAACAAAAAAATTCCATTTCTTTCAACAGAACAGTCGCACCTGATACTCTTTCATTAACTAAGAATTATTATAGAGAATATCAAGGAACTCATCACAAATTTCATAACGTTCACTTTCTATTCATCATTTTTACATCAGTTTCTCTTCTCATTCACTGAAAATGTCAACGTTTGAAGCGCAAAAAAATTGAATGGGAAGTTATTCTGATGAGAACGTTCAATATCAGATGCTTTTTGCACGAAATGCTATCATTCAAGATTGAAGGCGAAGAGAGTGATCAAAAAATTACGCCAAGGAGAGTTCAACTGCAACGAAAACCTCTGATGAAACACAACAAATTATGCTCAGCGATACTTATCATCGAAGCTTAGCCTTTATTTATTCAAACGAAATATTCCATCATTTTCATTCAAATGAATTCTGGTGTTTAGAAATTGATGAATTGAATCGCACTTATTGAGAACAAGAAATCGACGTGATATATACGACGAGCTACAAGAACACAAGAACGAGGATATACTTGCAAAGAAATGAGAAGAATTTGCGAGAGAAAGGAACGACGACGACGGGATGGGCAAACGCAGCAATCATCTGCATGAATCATTCGAAGAAACTAACTGCGAACAAGATTGGAAAAGGATTGTTGCAAGGTGAATCACATGATCCGACGACGATCAAGTAATTTTGATTCGCTTGGTTATCTTGAAATGAACGAACGTTCACAGTGAACGAAAACCATATTTATTGCGACCATTTCACTTCAGAAATACTTTAAAGATTTATTTTTTAATCGTAAAATGTGCAAATTTCATGAGAACATGCTGCAATCATCCCGTTGTATATAGGAATAATCCTGTTCTGACCATCAACCATACGCACATTTTCACACTCAATCCACCACTAAGTTTCTTTTGAATTTGCATCCACAGTCAAATCAAACCATCAAGCGAGTGTTCACACATGTTCTCTTGAAGTTTCACGAAAGAATTTTCGAGTTCAGTTACAAAGACGCACAAATTTGCCCACATAGTTGTTGTATCCAGCATCTATATTCAAGGGAAAAATGTTGATTCCTGATGTGAGATAAAGATGCGATAAAACGTTGAATTGACCTGATCCAAAGAGTAAGTTGTCTTCGAATTCAATTATGTACCTATATCATGACTCGTCGAAAAGTGACTGGATAATACGTTTTCACTAAGCATTTAGCTGATTTCTTTCATATGCATGAATAATATGATCAATCTGCGGTGATTTTGCTGTAGTAATGCGATGGATCCATTGAAAAGTTGATTGGTGAATGAATTTGATGAGAATGAGAGCTTTATGATTGCTGACAATAAATAATAATAACTTATTCTCATTGAATTTATTCGAATAATGATTATTGCTGCTAAGCGACAATTGCTGTTTAAGATGATATAATGCCTTAGGCATATACTCGTATTTAGGATGAAGATTTAAACATGCACACATACGTCTGTACATAAACACACACACACNCAGACAATAAATAAGGTTATTGTTTGGTCTTACTTGAAACCGGTATCACAATAATAATAATAACAGTCATTAATGAATAACTCTAAAGATCTAGAATCCATCTGATAGAATACCTATGTAGAGTATGTCATTCAACAATTTATCACATCAAAACACATCATCACTTCACTCCAATTTTGCTTTAATATATACCCAACTCCATCACTGATGATTAATTCAATCAGTTTTAGATAATCTCATATAATCTCTTCATCTTGTGAATGGTCAGTGATCACGATGAATTCTCAACTTTTCTCCCAAATTTTGAACAAGAGACAGTTTCTCATAACTCTGTTGAAACCCCTTAGCGTTTTTGCAATACACGTATTCTTTCGTTGAAAAGTTTGACATTTCAAAGAGTTCAAGAGAGAGGTATGAGATCTATTTATGGAACGAGCCGGCTTGAGTGCAGACTTTCGGTTTTTGTTTCGAAACTGAGCACTAGTCAAATGATTGATGCAAGACGAGACCAAATCTAACCGATATTCTTCCTCCGAAGAATTTCACTTATAAAACGAACGAACCTACTTATGCACATATATTATTAAACAAAATGTTGACTAATTCTGATACGAAACAGATGAAAGAGAGCATCAACCTAAAATCTGAAGTAAACTTAAATGAATCTCAACTCAAACCTGCTGTAATTTTAGGTTGACTCTTTAATTTCAACTGATAATTCTCCTGTTCTTTCATCAATGCTTCAAGAAAAGCATTACCAGCCGCATTGTTTTCATTCGTTTTTGCAGCAGTTGTTTGTTTTTGTTCATTTTGTTGTTGTTGTTGCTGGGATTGTTGCACTTTTTGCTGTTGCTGAGACCTGAAGTGCAACTGAGTTGAACTGAATAAAAATTGAAATCAATTCTCAAGTCAAACAAACAACTCGTTTGAAAGTCACTTTATGTTTTAAGACTAATAAAGTGACAATAAGAAACATTGCAGTTGATTGAATGATTGATATGAGAGTAATGCTTTTTGATGATGCGATTAACATCGAATCAGTGTCTTTAGATGTCATCAAATCAACAACACCTCGCCGCTTGCGCTAAACGAGCTCGTTCAGCAATTTGACGAATCTGTTCTTCGAGTCTACTCGCTGCACTCGCACTTACTTCTTCGATTCGTGACGATGACGACGTACCTGAAATTAATTACTTTTTAATGCATCCGTCATATTTAGCGTTCATCACTCATTCCTTTCATTTGATAGCGTGCGTCATCATTAGATTCACATTCAGCACAATTAATCTAATGTTGAATGTGCACAAGCAATCGAGAGTGAACTCAATTAGGAGAACATCATTAAAAGTGCTCAATTCGCGGAAAGGAACAGAACATGAAATGTGAGACGACTGAAGGTTTGCGCCATGCGAAGTAGATGAGACTACCTCATTATAACTGAACGATAATGGTTCAAGAGTTCTAGATAAAAATTCAGTATGAATTTATAGTCAACACGCATTCTGCATAATGAGATGGAGTAAGGGACTCGAGAGGTATCTGCGACTAGATGAGGCTAGCTAGATATGCGGGACACCACAAATACAGTAACATCCTGCATCTGTGCATGATCTCTGAGATCATTTCAATGTCACTGAAGTGGAACAATTCATAATAATCCAATGAATTCATTGTGAATTTTGGTAGAGCTCATGGGGACAAGAAGATAGATACAAGCATTGCATAAAATCAATGGCAATTGACTACTTCATAGCGATACAAATGTCAGCACCAGAAATCGATTTAAGGAACAAAAAGATGGGAGCACTACCTACCGTTTGTGGAGCCGAGGATCTCTTCCATGCTGTTTTCACAGGATCCTTCACTTGACGTTTCCTTCTTTGCAGTATTCTTTCCTGAAGCGGCACAAGTCAATGACTCTCAATTTTGAGAACATCATCCATTCAATTAAAATAGTCG